CTGCTAGCTGGCAGGCTCCCCCCATGCAGAGCTCAGAGATGTGCACTCCTCAGGACAGGTCAGGCCAGGGCCCCACTGATGTGGGTGATACTCTGGAGGGCAGGGCCGACGCAGGTGGAGGAGAGGGGTCTGGGGGGTGGCCTGGAAGGGGGAGCCGTGGACAGAGGGAGGCCTCTGGGTGGGAGGCAGGACTGTCTCTGGGGCAAAGAAGGGTGGGGCCAGTGGTCCTGGGGCTCTAACAGGCCAGGCACAGTCCGAGGGGACCCCTAGCACATTCCAAAGATTTGCCCAGCCCCTGCGAGGCCACCCTGGAGACTCCAGCCTGGCTCCTGGGAAGGGCCACAAAGGGACTGAGGCTGCCATGTGGAGGTGGGGACAAGCCAGCCAGCTCGCAGACTCTCAGGGTAAAAGCAAACACACACCCCAAAATAAACCCGCTTCCTTTCAGCAGGAGAAAGTAAGCGAACACAAATTCAGGAGCGGCAGGCCTCCCTGTCACATGGGGTCCTCTTCTCACTCACGAAGCCCGGAGCCCCATATACAGGCTGGTGAAACCGTCAACACCCCCGTGGCACCTAGGCTGCATCCTCCCCGAGGCACAGCCAGGCTCAGCACCCTGCCTGCAGGAGGCCCAGGGGACTGTGCCTGGAGGTCTCAGCTCAGACGTCACCTCCTCAGCGAGGCCTCCCTGCTCTCAGGCCGAGAAAGTCCTGCAGGGACACCCTGGTGGCACTTCCCATAGTGGTTCCCACCTGTGAACCACCACAGGCCAGCCCCAGCTCACACCATGCTTCTCGCCCCTGACTGTGACAGAGAGAGCAAGACAGGGCTGCCCGAACCCCTGGCAGTGCCTGGCACAGAGCAGGATCGCAAGCCAGTGAGTCCACAAACAGAGGCCCAGGCTCACCAGGAGGCCCTTTTGGTCCAGGGAAAGTCTCTGCAGCAAAGGGATGAGTGGCAGCCTCTGGGATTGCAGTCCTCATAGCAGCCCTCACAGTGGGCACTGCATTGGCCCTGGGAGATGGACTGCTGTCTCCCATGTGCTGATGGAGAAACTGAGGCACACAGCAGGCATGTACTCTGCCTCTGTCCCCAGGCCCACTCAGCGGGGCAGCTGAACTCGTTCCCCTTTGCAGGGAACTCCAGGAGAAGGAAGAACCCTGACCTGGGTGCTAGGCAGGGGGGCTGCTCCTGTGCCTTGGCTTCCCCAGCTCTTCCTGACACCACCCCTCCCCTGGGCAGTGCCAACAGGGCTTGCCTGTGACTGCCTGGGAGGCCCTGCCCTCACGCACACCCTTGCACCAGCCCCCAGCCCCTCCAGGCCTTGCCCTGCCAGGGTGCACTGTTGCCAGGGAGGCGGGAGTTTTTGGAGCCTCCAGGCGAGGAGAGAGTGAACGGCAGGCAGTCAGGCTCTGCTTCAAAAGGTGGCTGAGCTGTAGGCATGGGATTCCAGTTTTTTTACTCTCAATTCTAAATTTAGATGCAGAGGGGTAAACAGAGCCTGGCCGCCTCCTGTTTTGAGAGACCCCCAGGCACTGAACAGAGGAGCCCGTGTTTGCAAAAACGACTTTTCCCTCCACTCAAACTTTAACACAAACAAACGCATTTTGTTCGAAGGGCAAAGAAAAGTCTTAAATTCTCCCCAAACGCCTTGGCAGCCAGGGCGGGCGCCACACTTAGGGGATCCGGGACTTTTCACATCCAAATCAGGTATCCCCACCCTTCTCAGGGAAGGGGACCGGAGGGGACACTCAGCCATTAAGCCGGCACCCTCACTGGACAGCTGTGGGAACTGGTGGCCAGCAAGGCAAGGGACCTTCCAGGAAGTCCACCTGGGCCACCCAGTGTTCTAGGTGGGACTGCTTCCCCCCTAATTTGTGTCCACCTGGCCCCACAAAACAGGATATTTGGAAATAGGCAGATGAGCTCCTCCTGGATCGCCTGGCTGGACCCTCAAGCCGATGGCAAGAGTCCTTATGAGAGACGGGGCCGACTCAGAGGAGTGAGGCCACTGTATGCGGGGACAAATGGAGTCTCCAGCCGCGGGGAGAGGGGAGGAGAGGTTCTCCCTGCGCCTTCAGAGGGGTCGGGCCCGCGCACACCTCCAGTCGGGCTCCCGCCTTGAGAGCTCCTGCATTTCTGTTGCTCTGGGCCCAGCAGTTTGCAGACTTTGCAGTGGCAGCCCCAGCACCCCCAGGGCGTGTCCGAGGGGTGAGGAGTCCACAGAGTCCAGGCGAGGCCTGGGGCAGATGCAGCAAGACGATGAGAACGGCCCGGCCCTCGGGAACCCGCCCCCACCTGGTAAGGGCCGTGGTGGCCCCCACGGACGGAGGTGGAGTAGGCCTGGCTGCCCGGCGGCGGGGGCTGAGCTTCACTCCCTGTGGGGTAAAGGAAGCCAGGACAAAGGAGCTGAAAGAAACAACCACTCAGGGCACAGTTGCGAATTGGCAAACTGGCTTGAAAGCCCCCATCTGGGCTGCCCCTTCTTTCGTTTCTCAAGTTCTGTTTGTCCGAGAAACGCCAGGAACACAGCCCATAACTCAGGCCTCAGGCGCCGCTCCCCCCGACAGCTGCAGGGCAGCTGAATGGGAGCTGTTTGCCCCGGAGCCCCGGGCGGCGGGGGGCCCAGGGCGACCAGGGGCGCGGGGCCTGGCGGGAACAATGGCCAGGCCAGGGCGCGATGGCCGAGGCTCGGGCTGCAGCTGACAGTGCGGGCCGGGGCACTGATGCCAAGCCGGGCACAAAGGGGCCGTGTTCCCGGCCAGCGGGCGGATGTTTGCACAGGTGTGGGAGTGGGAGGGCCGCTTTGCCGCGGGCGGGGGGGCTGGGGGGCTGGGGGGTAGCGTCCGCTGCCCACAGCTCCAGCGGGCGGCCAGGAAGGCAGGCAGGCCAGCACTGAAGGCTGGGTACCGCTTATCAGCCATGCTGGGGCCAGCACCCACTGGCTTCCACTGCGCCGCTGGCTCCTCAGTGCCCACCTCGCCACCAGCCTCCTGGGAACTCTCCTGGCTCTGGGCAGTCCGTCCCTGAGCAGGCCCTGCCCCATCTGCACTCACTGCCGGCAGGCTCCGGCCGGGGGCTGGGCCCTTCTGCCCAAACCTGCTCAGGCCTGCCACACTGGGGCCTTCGGGGGGACACAGGCCCCCAGGAAGGCAGGCAGAGGCCGAAACCGCAGCCTGCCCCAACCCAGGCGCTGTGTCAGCATGCCCCCACCTTCTCTGAGCAGTCGGGCAGTTTGGAAGCTTCCAGAAAACCTGCTGACTTGGCCTACGTCAGGAGCCACTGCTGGGTGTCTGGCCTCACCGGGAAAGGCAGAGGGGAGGGAGGGGACACAGCAATTGCTGGGGCATGTGCCTGGCTGGGGAGCCGACGGGCGGCTTCTTGTCCTGCCCAGATGTGCTCTGAGGGTGGTAGGGGGGCCCCCGAGAGCCAGCGAGGCCGGGCCTTTCTGGAAGGAGGACTCAAGGCAGACAGGCTGGGTCCTGGCACCACCACCATGTGCTTTCCACGGCTGTCCTGCCCGCCCCCAGCTCCAGCCCCTATGTGGCCCCCAGGCCTTGGCTCCCACCCTGTGCAGACTTCAATGGCCTCCTCCCAGCCCCCAGCCCCTGCTGCTACCATGGTCCCATATGACCTGTTCTCGGGCCCAGTGAGCCCAGAGGGCAGGAGACGAGGGCAGACTCGAGGGCAGACTCCCCTGCGGTGGAGCAGGGGACACCCCGTCACCTCAGTGCTGGGGCTTCCCGTACCACACCCAGGGCCACTCCCCAAGGTGTGATGGTGCCACTCTGGGCCTTGGTGGCCTGTGGACGGCTCACCCGGCCCTGCAGCTGTGGGAGGAGAGGGGATGGAGTTACCCGCTTCCTGCACTCCAGCCTCTAGCCAGCTGCTCCCCTCGGGGTACCCACACGTTTCCCCCAGAAGCAACCCTCAAGCTCCATGTGGATATAAAAGCCAGTTTTCACTGAAGGATTTGAAGGCAGCCACCAACTCCCAGAGGGACACTGGCAAGCTGGGCCTGCCCCTAGAAATGCCTCAGCCAGAGTCCTCTGAGCCATGAGAAACCACTGCTGGGCCTACATGCAGGTGATATGGGACTCGGGCAGCCTGAAGCTCGGAGGACGCGCCCTGATTCCCGCAGCTGCACCTCCTTGGTACTTCTCCCTCTCCCACGGGCAAGCTTGACTCCCTCCAGGAAGCCCCAAACACTTGGCCTGACACCCAGCCCCACGCCTCCTGTGCAGCCTCTCCGAGCTTGGGTGGCTGGCATTCCTGTGTGGGATCTGCCTGCTCACACCCGCTTCCCCAAGGCTCCTGGGCCACTCTAGGTGGCTGGAACCCACCTTCGCAGCCGGGGGCAGCCTCTGGGCCCACAGGCTGGGTCCCCGCTCCCCCTGGGCCCAGCTGCACCTAGGTCGTCACTGCACAGGGCTCAGAACTTGCAGCCCAGCGTCCACCGGACCCACGGGAGCTCTCTGCTCTCTCCTGGGGTCTCTTGAGCCATCGTGGCCTTTCCTGTTTGCTGTCTCATGTCTGGCTCCTTGGGGACAGTGGCACTCACAGGGCCTGTGTGGACCTTCAGAGACACGTGAGGCATGTGTCTGACCTCACCCTCCAGGGGCCCTGCCAGGGTGATGGCTGGGGTGGGCGCAGGGAACAGGGAGCCTGGGATGTCGGCAGGAGGTGGAGCCACGGGGAAGCCGAGACCGCTGAGCCTCCAACACGTGCTCCAGCGACCCCTCAGACTTCTCGCCGCTCAAATCTCAAAATCAAGGATGACATGTTCAGAACTTCAGGATGGTTATGCCAGAGCACTTGACACAGCGTGGGGACCCGTGCAGGCAGCTCCAAGCGCAGGTATGTGGACGGGGGGCTGCGGGAGCGCAGGTGAGAAGCCCCCGCCAGCAAGGCCTGACGTCTGGACACACCAGTGTCCCGGTGTCCTGTCCCTCTTCAGCCCGGGCCGCCCCCACCCGCCTGCCTGGAAGTTTCTGACTTACCACCCCCCACCACAGCGCGTCTGCGTAGCTGCCGAACTCCACGCGGCCCGACTCGTTCACCGCGTCCTTCTCAGCCAGGTACACGAAGTATGAGGAGAAGATGAGGCCCAGAAAGCCGATGTACAGGGTGGTTATCAGCTCCTAGGCCAGAAAACAGGCGGTGTCGGGCTCCAGGCGCCGCGGGCTGAGAGCCTCCTGTGCAGGCGCCTAAGCAAGTCCCAGCGATCACCAGACGTCTACGCCGCTCCGGCATGGTGCCCAGGCACAGGGCTGGCTTCCATATAACCCGCTACTCACAACCCTGGTAAGCGGCCGGTGGGGGTTACCCCCAGAGTGAGGCTCAGCCCTGGGGTCTCCCTAGGCCCACCGTCTGAGCCGGCGCTGGCTCCACCGATTGCCCGGCTCTCTTTCCCACCACGTGACAGAACCAAGAGTGGACCAGGACCCAGCAGATCCTCAGGGTGAGGAAGAGGCCCCTCACCCCACAGAGCCAGGGGCCGGCGCAGCCTGAGCCTGTCTGGGTGCGGCCCTCGGGGAAGGGGTGCTGGTGGCCCTGTCCGCCTGGGTTCTCGATTTGCCTGGGTTTTTCATTTCTGTCGTTTCGTTTGCCCCCAGCTCAAAGGTGAGCACATCATCCGTCTGCAGGCCAGGGTCACCGGCACCGGGGGTTGGGGGGTGGAGCACCCCAGCCAGGCTCAGGCTGGGGCTCGCTCCGAGATCCTGGGCCCTGTTCAGAACCTTGAGCCTGGGCACCCAGGGCCACAGCACATCCCAAGTCATCCTAGTGTGGGCTGCTCAGCCCCCTCCACCCTGCCCCACCCTGGGCCCTGCACCCCCAAATCAGGCTACGCACCTGGCGGTGGATGAAGACCACAGAGCCCAGGAGCCTCCAGGTGCCTCCCTGGCGGTCGACATGCAGCATCCTCAGGATCTGGAGGAAGCGGATGCCCCTGGGAAGGAGACGGTGTGGGGCTGAGGGAGCAAGGCTGGGCTCAGGCGCACACTCCGGGCCTGGGGGTGGCCGACAGCATGGGTGTCCCTGTCCTTGCTGGATGCCCACTCTGGGTGGGGAGGCTGGGTGTACCTCCATCCCGACAGGGGCCTTGGAATTTCCCTCCTAGGCACAGCCCCCCAGAGCCTGCTCTGAATCTGCTCACATAGGGTTGGGGCTGGCGGCCAGCCAGGTACCTCCAGATTCCCTCAGTCCCCAGACTGCCTTCCAGGGGAGCCCCTTGGGTCACCCCAGTTTGCAGATGAGCAGGCTGTGTGCCCAAATGGTCAGGTTATCACCGAAGTCCTCGTAGCTCAGAGGTGCCGGGGCTGGGCCAGAGCCCAGGGCTGCCTGAGGCATCTCCAGTCTGAGCCGTGCACTCCACACTTGTCTGCTCCACCCACCCCAGCACACAGCTCAGTGTACACAGGGGCAGCAGGCACCAGGGCACCTTGCATCAGAGCAAGGCAGATGGGGTGTGAGACTACCTACAGCTCAGGAGGGGTGCTCAGTGCAGCAGGGAGAGCTCACAGCACAGACGCACCTGATGGCTGATGTGGCAAACACCTGCCCCTTGGAGCCCACGCAGAGGACCACCATGGAGGCCACGACCACGATGAGGTCTGTGGGGTACAGGGTAGAGGTAGATTGTCATGATTGTCACCAAGCAGGGCTCCAGGAAAGACCACACCCCCTGCTCTCATCTAGGGAAGGGGCTTGCCGGTTAGGCGGGTTAGGCCCTGATGACGGGGGACATGGGAACACCTTGGATAGGGAGCCAGGCAGCACCTAAACTGGGAGACCCAACCCCTGTTGGGCCACATGGAGCCTCCAGCCCAGGCTGGGCCCTGTGCTGAGCCCTGCAAGGGGCTAGAAAGGGCAGAGCCTTAGGCCTGGACCACGGTTCTTGGGCCACCGAGGGCGACTGGCCCACCGTGAAGCTCTGCTGGGCTGCGAGGCTCCTGGGAATCTGGGAGGGACCAACCCCCACCCTGACACCATGATCAAAGTCTTAGTGCAGAGGTGGTAGGGGACTGTAAATGCTCTGTGCTGGGTCCCAGGCAGTCACCCTACTGCTGGCCTTGGGGCTCCCCAGTCCTCAGGGGACTCTCTGTTGGGGGTCCTTCCTGGTCTGGAAACCTGGGCGTGACCTCCACAGGGCAGGCATGACTCACCGATGATGGAAATGGGCTTCCGGGCAAAGCGCAGCCGCCCCCAGAGGCCCACGTACTTGCTGCGGCAGCCGGCCGACCAGAGGCGGACCATGTACTCCGTCCCAAAGAACACCACCAGCACGATCTCCTGCAGGGACAGAGTGGGATGCTCACTGCTGGCAGGCTCGGCCTCGAGAGGCCTCAGACCCTGAGACTTGTTTGGACCCAGCTACACTGGGAGCCTCTGCTGAAGGACACCCCAAGAACAGCAGGCCCAGGTCCTGGCCTGTTAGGGCTGATGATGGCTGTGCACAGAGGCCCTGGAGGGCCGAGCAGCTTAAGCTCACGTCCACAGGCAGTGGAACCCAGGTGAGGCTACAGCGCTCTGGCCAGGCCTACCTGGGCCAGAGGAGGCCCCATGCCAGAACCCCCGCCTGGGCTAGAGGGGGCCCCATACCAGGAACCCCGGGCGCCCTCCGTGAGAAGCAGTTTCCCACGAGCTCCAGCCCCAGGCAGCCTCACAGCTGGTCTTTGAGCCCGGCCTCCCTGGGGTGGGGGCAGCCTCTGGACCACTTTGCCTTTGGAGGGAGTCATCTGCCCCCTCCACACCCCCACGCCTCCTCAACTCCACCAATACCAGAGGGCAGAGGTTCCTGGAGGAGTGGGAAGAAGACCCTCAGAGCTGGATCCCACCTTCTAGGCACAGAAGTGGGTACCTGGGCCTCAGTGTCCCTGTCTGTAAAGTGTGAATGCAGCAGTGGCAGGCTCAGCGGGCATGGGTGGGGACATACTGTCCAAATGCAGCTGTGACACTGAAAGCACAGAGGCCGCCTGCAGGCTTGCGCCCCGCACCCAGGCAGCCGGGGTGCAGGGGAGGCCCTCAGGGAAGGCATGAGAGGCTGGAAGATGAAACCAGCCCTCACGTGTGGAAGGTGCTAGCCACACAAAGCCACGAAACCACAGGCATATGGCGTCTCAGGCTTGCTTTCGGTGAACTCCTGCCTGTCTTCCCTCAGAAGCTGGGCCCAGGAGGGGACTTCTGCTCCCACTGGGTGAAGGTGGCTGGCCTTGCTGCCATGCCACGCCCCACCGGGGGTCCACTATGAGTGGTCGGCTGGACACTGCCATCGCTGGCTCCCAAATGTTATTAATTAGGACAGAATGATACACCATCCGGCGTGTGTAGGGGGCAAGCCCAATGGACAAGAAGAGACACAATAGGAACTTAGCTGCTTTCCTTTTGCAAAAATGTTTTTGGCTCATGGTGTCAGATCCTTCAGGGGTGAGGGTATGTGCAGTTGGGTGCATACAGGAGATGGCGGGGGTGTGAGGTAAAGGGTCTGGACACTTGCAGGCTCCATGGCCTCATGGGGGGTTCGGGTCCCACCTCTGTCCTCAGCTTCTGGGGACTGGGGCTTTGGCTGAGGTCTGGCTGAGCTCCTTAGGAAAGAGACCACCTTGGTCTTATCCACACCCATTTCCCAGGCCCCAGGACAGCACCTTCTCCGGCCAGTGCTCAACATAGACATACCGAATGAACGAATGAATGAATGTTCCAAAGAGCTGGCCTAGAGCTCTCTGGTAGCACAAACTCTGTCTCGTCAGGTTTTGCTTCTGAGAACCTGCCCTGTAGGGAGGTGGGCCTGGACACAGTAATGTGTGCCTGTGTTTGGTCATCATGAAAAAGGCCACAGAAACACGGAGCTCCGAGTCCCCGAAGCTGAGACAGTACACATGGCGGCATGGAGGCCGGCTTGCCCAACCTCTGGTGACCTCGGTGGGGAGGCATCGCGGCTCCCAGCCCAGCTCTGCTGACCCATACGCCACCCAGCAGACTGGCCCTTAGCAGGGTTTTTCTTGTTTAGATGCACTTTATTTTAATTTTTAATTTTTGTTTTTGAGACAGAGTCTTGCTCTGTTGCCCAGGCTGGAGTGCAGTGGCATGATCTCTGCTCACTGCAACCTCTAGCTCCCAGGTTCAAGTGATTCTCCTACCTCAGCCTCCTAAGTAGCTGGGATTACAGGCACACACCACCACACCTGGCTAATTTTTTGTATTTTTTTTTTTTTTTTTAGTAGAGATGGGGTTTTGCCAACGTTGGCCAGGCTAGTCTCGAACTCCTGACCTCAGATGATCCACCCACCTCAGCCTCTCAAAGTGCTGGGATTACAGGCGTGAGCCACCGCACCCAACCTTGTTTTGATGTACTTTAAAAATTACTTAAGTACCTTCTCCAGCCATGTCCAGGCAGGCCTGAAGTGCTAAATGTGTCTTAAGTTATACCTTTAAACAAATAAGCAACCACTGGGGGTTGCTGTGGATAGCTGCATGTCTTTCTAATATTCTCTTGACCTCACGCCCGGGGAACCTGCTTAGAGGCTGGCCTTCGGAGGTGGCAGGACTCCTGCCTTGTGGGACATGGTGATGGGAAAAATTAAAAACAATGCTGATCCCCAAATCTGGCTGGAGGTGGGAAGGCGGTTCAAGGTCCCATGGCTGGGGAGGCCCCGCTTGTCGGGTTAATTAGGCTGGTGCTGCTGGCAGGCCAGGATGGAGCCAAGGAAAAGTCCCTTCACCATCTCTAGGCTGGAAACAGCCAGATGAGTTGGAATGTTTGCTCAGAGATAAAACTATCTCCACCACCATCAGCCTCAAACACTTTCCTGAGCTGTGCGGGACAACACGGGGGGCCAAGGCCGCAGTGAGACCCCAGGTTGCTCACACTCATCTGGGACCAGGGAGGGGGAGTGGTCCCCCATGCCATGCCGTGGCCCATTCCCAATTCAGGGGACCACACCCCTAAAAAAGCAGGCTCACAGAATGGCAGGCCCGCCTCCCCCTGGCTCCAGCAGTCAAGACCCCAGATGGGTGATGTCCTAGCCACCCTCCTCACTCTGGGTTCATCTGTATTTGCCGACTTGGCCCCAAGCTCCAGAGGTGAGCTAAAGAGGCGTCAAGCTATTCCCCAGAACCTGCGTTAGTGACTGCTGCCTTGCCCCCCTTGCTCAAGCAGCTGCCATAGCTCCTGCTGTCCTCACTGAAGGTGGGAGTCTAGGCCTGTCCCTGAGGCTACCTTCCCAGGGGCTCACAGCCCAATCTCCCCCAGAGCCTCCCACAGGCCCCAAGTGTTCCCCATGCCTGGGGCGCCCCATGCCTCCTCAGGGCTCTGTGTCTAGAGTGCTCTCTCCCTCCCCCATTCTGCCCCCTGGGTTCCCCCACCCTCCTCAGGCCAGCTCAGCACCCCCAGCCCCAGCCCCAGCCCCTCTGAGAGCCCCATCCACCACACGGGCAGAACCAGGGGTGTTTTCCGACTCCCCGACTGATCACAGAGACAGCCCCAGGGCCTCTGAGGGGCACCCAGCATCATCCAGCCCCACAAAGTGCCTGTCACAAGATCTATGTGGCGCCAGCAAGCCCCCCGGGTCAAGGATGAAGTGCCCTGGGACGCTGATGGAGTGCGGCCCTGAGCCCTGCCCCACAGATACGAGGAGAAGAGCCGTCCTTGGTCTCCACTGAGACCACAAACAGACCAAGGGGACAAAGAGGCCCCTCCCTCCCGATCACTCTCCTTCGGACTAAAGCAAGGCCGCCTCCTGGCTGCGGATGGTTTCACGGACAAAGGGGCCCCAGGGCTGGGCACAGAGACGTGCACGGAACAAACACAGACCACCGTCACAGGGTGGTGGCCTCTGTCCACATTTTACGGGGAAGGAAAGTCAGGCTGGGAGAGGTCAGGGCACCCGCAGCTTAGGGGAGGGAAGGCGGGTGACCATGGCAGAGAGAGCCCCCCAAGACAAGGTACAGGCATCCTCAGGTGTGGGAGTGAACACGGCAGGAGAGGCCAGGCCAGCCAAGGAGGGCTAACCACTCTCATGCATAGACACCACTGGGGGCCACATGGGCACGGTGGTGGTTCTGGAAGCAGCCCTGTTACTGCCAGATGAGTGGGTACAGGCCAAAAGCTGAAGGACCCTTGGCAAAGGGAACCTAGACATGAGACGAGGACCCCAGGCTGTGAATGCGGCTCTGGGAGGGGGAAGGCACCCGAGAGGAGCTCCAGAGCCACCAGCCCCACTGAGGGACAGGAAGGTGTCTGGATCCTGTGGGGCGAGGCAGGGAAGACAGGCCTGGGCCTCACATGGCCGCCAGCCCCACCAGCCACCCGCCTCCGCCTTGGTGGTCATCCAGTGGGCAGCCGGGCAGCTGGAGAGTTGAGTCTGGCCTGGAGGGAGGGTGTGGGTGTGACATGGCCCCAAGGTGGGTGCAGGCACAAGAGCCGCCAGGACCACAGCACCCCCTTCCTCCAGACCCAGAGAGGGGCCGGGGACGAGGATGTGCGGGGTCAGGAAGTCAAACCCTGTGGGTTCTGCCCCTCCCTGAGACACCGTCACAGAAGCAACAGAAAAGACATGTGAAGTGGGAAGAAATGCTGGCTGAGGCCCCTGCCCCTCCACAGGGGACCCACTTGTTCCACTGTGTGCTTTTCTGGCAAGGCCTGGAAGCAGATCTGTTTCTGGGTCCTTGTCCCCCAAAACAAGATAGGCCACGGGTCCTGCCCAGAAGCCGGCCATCCCATCCTGCACCCCCAGCTCCGCTCCACGAGTGTGAATCCATGTCCCTCCCGGGGTATGTTACACGTTGGCTCTCGCGGGTATTATTTGTGTAATTTAAAACCATTTAAAAAAAAACAAACTTCCTAGCAACTCAAGTTTTTTTAAATAGGCCAAGGACTTGAACAGTCATTTCTGTAGAGAAGATACACAGATGGCCAACAGGCCCACGGAGAGGCGCTCAGTGCCACTAATCACCAGGGAAACGCACAACCAGACCACAGCGAGGTGCCGCCTCTCAGCCGTGAGGGTGGCTCCCACCCCAAACAGAGTGATGAGCGCTCCCAAGGATCCGGAGAAGTCGCGGCCTCATGCACCACTTGGGTAAATGGAGAACGCTGCCACTGCCGTGGGACACGTGAAAACACGGAATGACAGCCCCCCAATTTTGCTGTGACCCTAAAACTGCTCTAATAAACAGTCTATTCAAATAATATGCCAGAAAAAAAATATGACCCAGCAATTCCACTCTGGAGTCTGTCCCCAGCCTCTTTAAAGGAGAGCCACACACACCCATGACTATGGCAGCACATTCAC